TGATAGGAAGTCGCAGAAAACACCAATTCTTTCTTTTGACTTAATTTTTATTTCTTTCCTTCTCTCTATTTTCTTCTCTTTCCCTTTTGTCTATTATGTTCGGTTTACATACCAAATGGAATTGGCACGTTACATAAATGTTTGGCATTTTCTCTTTTCTACATGATGTGCTCACCAACGTATAGTGTCTCCTCTTTCGCGACGTCCGCTTGCAGACATTTTAGGCTAACTCTTGGATAAGGCCACAGTAAGGGAGGAATATATACGCATATATACAAAACACATTCAAGATTCAGGAGAAAATGAAATAGGAAAACACAGAAGTCAGTTAATAATCTTTTGGGACGTTTAGTTGAACTGTTACTTGATATCTGTCCTCCTGTATGGCAGAAAAATTCTGGACAATCTCCTCAAAGATGAAGAAGAGATTTGAAGCAACAGAAATATGGTTCTACAGAAAAGAGGAGAATTTCCAGCATTCGCTGCCATATAGCAGGACAGACATCAGTTCAGTGCTTTTTGCCTTTGATTACGATAAATATCCTGAATAAAAAGCGTAAAGGTTATCAGGATAGCCGCGTAGGCACTGACTAGTGAGTTCGATCCTCACTGGGTACCCCATACTTTCGGCCTTGTGCCACATCTAAGCCGGACTTAGAAAATCCTTTGGGCACCTGGACGTGATGTAATGGTTAGAAAGCTTGTCTTGCTAGATCAATTACGACTGAGTAGTGAGTTCGATCCTCACTGGGTGCACCCTACTTTCGGCCTTGTGCCACATCTAGGCTACACTGGGAAAATCCTTTGGGCACCTGGACGTGGTGTAATGGTTAGAAAGCTTGTCTTGCTAGATCAATTACGACTGAGTAGTGAGTTCGATCCTCACTGGGTACCCCATACTTTTGGCCTTGTGCCACATGTAAGCCGGGCTTAGAAAATCGCTATCGGGATAGTAAAACCTTCATATTCCTCTTTGTTTATACTGCTTGCTTTTCTCATGTACGGTAATTTCTCTGCGTGGGACAAACTGAGATAATTATGCAAGTCACCGTCGACCCTGAAACCTATGCGACTTACGACTGTTTGACTTTACAACCATGACCACGAATTGGCATGTCTGGCCACGACTGTTTCATGTCTTAGTAACGCGACTGTTTCCCCAGCTTGATGTACAACAATTTCGGCCCCAGCTCCCGGAAGCACTAACATTCCGTCACGCACCTCAAGCTCGGTGTTAGGGCAGCCTCGGCACTACACACTTTCCTCCTGGCTACCCACGAGTCCTTTTGTGTTGTATGTTTTGAAATTTTTCTACAGAACCCCCCCCACCAAGGTGTCTACCAAGAGCAAATCGTCTTTGTCTACTCCTCAACCTGCCAAGAAGGAAAGAAATTTTATTGATCTCGGCACAAAATTGATGGCGACTGAACAATACGAAGCAGGAAAAAAAAAGTGAATGTGATCGCACGTGGTCTGATGTTATCACACTCTGTGTCAACAATTCCGAAGGACATAGAAAAAAAATTTGTAAAGCTGTGAAAGGGTTAGCACTGATGCAATTGACAGTTATAATGAAGCAACGGACTGGCCCCAGTTGCTGCATACGTGAAGGGAAGATCAAATCTAATCATCGAAGAATTTCTAAGGATTCAATGGTTGGCATAAAATGTGTTTCGTCTATATCATGAAATTTATAAAGAGGAAAAGAAGCAGACAATTCAAATAGACTGTGAACAAAAAACAAAAACAAAAAAACAAACAAAAAGACAAAAAAAAAAAAACAACTCTACCGGCTACCTGAAGCCGTTCCCCAGATGACGACACCGACGTTCTACAAGCAAGCACCCACAGGAACACCGGACTATAAGTGGTTGCAGTATTCTAAGCAAGGACGAATGATAAGATATATTCTGGAGAGAAAAATTTTCGCGCATGTGCAGTATGTGGTATTTGACTCAAATTTAAATGTCAAATAGTCTTGGGAACCGTTTCCACAGAACAGTGTTTCATGGGAAGAAGCTGCTTGAGCGGAGCCTATATCTCCCCACTGGAATACGAAGGGAATGAGGGTTGATATTTCGGGGTCATGTAATGAGAAAAGAGGGCTTGGAAAATCTGATACTCACAGGACAGATTTACGGAAAGATGTACAGAGGAAAACAGCGTGTAATATACTTGATGAGCTTGATCAAATTGATGACAGAACAGGGTTTGAGAGAAATAACTAAAAAAGGAATCTTATTAAGAGCTACAAAGGACAGGAGGATGTGGAGGACCATGATCGCCTACGTCATGAAGGAAGACGGCACATCAAAAAAAGAAAGAAGAAAATAACTTCAATGAATCCTGATCTACAAACTGATTTCTTAACAAGAATATATATTCTATTCATACGAACCTATCCTAAAAATCTTGTCGGCATTAAATAACCCATTGAAGTCTTGATATGCCGTAAAACAAAATAAATCAAATCAACCAAACCAGGCATTAAATGTGATCAGCCAATTTTTCCCCTATTGATCTGTTAGAGCCCGGTCAGGGGAAAGATCAGCTGCCAAGCTCTGGTCATGTGAAGGTCTTGGAGGTGCAGCCATATACTATAGATATTCATAATTCATAAATGATCGGAATATACTCTGAGGAAGATAATTTATTTCAAGTTGGAAGAGGGCTGTTCCAAAAATGTCAACCTTGGGGGACGTCTGATCGCTTGGGCACCAGAGGACCGACCATTAACAACTACCTTCAGGGACTTACTCGTTAGGAAGGACTTTCCTGTGATTCCATAGCTAGAGAGCTTGTGTAGTAACCCTTTATGCTATACCTTGTCAAAGGGCTTTGAAATATCTAATGTGATCTTCCTTGAGACGTATTTGTCGTCAAGTGCGTCACTAATTCTGTGAGTAATCGTAGTTATGATATCAGCAATGGATCAGGTGGATCAAACCCGTACTGATTGTCGCTCAAGATGTTCCTATTGAGGCGATCAACAACGATTGTAGTGTTCGAAGAAGCATCGGCTCTCGTGTAGAAGCTGTCTGAATAAAACTCCCTCCTTACAAATGGAATACGAAAGGAATACGGATGGTGGACTTTAGCTGAAAACGTCTGAACTGGTGAAACTAGGGAAACTAGCTCGTCAGAACATTTTCCATGAAAATAGCGATAGAATAGTTCATCACCCACAAGACCATGTTGAGCAGGTACATACCGAATGTGGCAGCGATGCTATGTTTTCAGTCTGGCCTAATTCTTGTAAGAGCATGGGAATTGGAGACAGGTACAGTCTAGAGCGGTATAACTAACTGGCCATTTTTCCAGCGTCTTTAGCGATTAATCGTATGTATATGGAGTGGACTTTTTTTACGATGATGTTCACTGTGTACAAGGCCCAAGAGCCACTCGATGTAGTAGGATACAGAGTAAGAGGCGCCACTCCAAGCAAGGTGATAATATCACCAAGACGCCAGAGGCCCCCAGAAATGAAAGAGAATGAAAAGGAACCAGAAACCCAATCTTAAACAGGAAACAAGGGCTAAACTTTTACTCCTGTTCAGAAGACCAGAGAGGAGTGTGAACCGGACAACTGACTCCTAAAATAGGTTCAAAACAAGAGAGTGAAAACCATTCATCGTGACTGGTAGTGACGATGAAAAGTTACAAGTTTAGCGCAAAACACGACAGAGAAAACAACTCCGACCGTTCTCCAATTTTAGATATTCTTGCACATTTTTCTTTTTTTTTTTGCTCACAAGAATAAATATTCCGTTTTGCGTAATATTTATAATCATACTTTCTAATGTTTCGAGCAGACATAAAGAAAGATGTTAGCTTTATATATTAGAAATATTATTTTCTACGTGAACAAAAACAAAGGTATGGACACATAAGTGCCATTTTATTTATCGATGTTTTCCTTAGCAGTCAGAACGGGATTTCTTTTACACGTGCTTCAACAAAGTCATGATGATCTGCATTGTACGGTAAACACCTACACAAATACTGGGTAAGATGAACGCGCAATTATATCTTTGCAGGTGCTTGCTTTTTTGGAGGAAAGAATTGGTAAGAAAACAAAAAGCAAACATAAAATAATGAAAATCAGTGTGTGTGTGTGCGGATGGATAGAGAGAAAGAGTATGTGCTTTTCTTTTCTTTTGTAATGCCATGTTCTTTCAGGGTGTAGGCAGTCAGCTTACGGTCATAGCACGTTAAAAGTCCGGCTCCCATATGACCACCGAAGTTAAGTCAACGTCGAGCCTGGTCTGTATCATTCCCAACAACTCTTTCTCCTTGTCGACCTTCGTCGGCACCATCGAGTCAATGTGAACGATCCCTGCCTAAGCTGCATAGTATGTGCTTCGCCAGGGCTTCACACAGCTTCCTTCTCCTAGACCGGTTGACACCCAAAGGCGATAGAACCAAGTCTTTTCTACTATTTACCCATAGCTGGGGGGAGAAGTGTTGGAGTCATACCTTTACCAAGGTTATATCATACACAGAACCGCACACAAACAGAAAGAGAACAACAGATAGGCAGCCTAACATGTAAATCTATATCTGTCTATAAGGGATGTGGAGGCAGAGGGGCGGCATTATCAGTGAAGGCCTACGGCCATATAGCGTTGAAACACCGGCTCCCGTACGATCAACGAAGTTAAGCAACATCAAGCCTGGTTAGTATCCAGATGGGTGACCGCTTGGAAATATCAGGTGCTGTAAGCTTGGATGGTAATGGATAGTGGTTCTGAATTGGAAACTGGAGAGCAGAGTTCCAATTCCTGTTGGGTTCGTTATATCCACTTACATGCAAATACCTTTGAACTTGAATCCACCTCTTATTCCCCCAGCTATGGGTTAATTAGTAGGACCTGTATCAGAAAATCATTATTATCTTTAAAAAAAATTCTTACAATCTAAAAATATTTTCTGACTTTATAATAACCTTCAAAAGGTTGGTAAGCCTTTAAAAGAATCAATCAATCATAGATTACGCAAAAACAACACCGGTTCTCGTAACGAAGTTAAGCAACATCGAGCCTGGTCAGTACCTAGATGGGTGACCGCTTGGGAATACTGGGTGCTGTAAGCTTGGGTGTGCGGCTGGTGTAATGGATAGTGGTTCGGAATTGGAAACTGGAGAGCAGAGTTCCAATTCACTTTTAGTTCATTATAGTCACCCATGCGCATTGTTATATATATATATATATATATATATATATATATATATATATATATATATATATATATATATATATATATATATATATATATATATATATATATATATATATAAAAGTGAATGTAATGACTGAATTCGAACTCGGCTTTCGATTCCTCAATCCGAGCCGCTAACCATTAATCTGCCGTGCCTTTTTTTACTTTATATAGAAGTTCACTGGAGTCGGGATCATCGAATCAATGCAAACGATCCTTTCCTTAGCTGTATAGCATGTGAATCGTCAGGGCTACAGTTTCCTTCTCCCAGACCGGTTGACTCCCAAAGCAATAAAATCTCCCCCCTCTCTGTTCTGTCATTCATTTACACGATCTCATCAGGTAGCTGACTCGCTAATTGCATTATCTCTTTGGCCTATGATATATTCTGTGAGTGTCAAAATTTCCAAACCTTCTTTCCTCATTATGTGAAATTTCAGCTCTCTTTCTATTTCTAAGTATATGTATCCTACTTTTCCATTTTCTTTAAAACCTTCTCGTTGATTACATGTTTCACTCATAGCATTCTCAGTATCCTTCTGTAGAATCATACCACCATTACTTAAAGTTTTCTCTTTATAGGCTATCGGTCATACCACGTTGAAACACCGATTCCCGTACGATCACCGAATTTAAGCAACGCGGAGGCTAGTCAGTACCTTCATGGGTAACCGTTGGGGAATACCCGGTAGTGTAAGCTTGGAGGTGCGGATGGTGTAATGGATACTGGCTCGGAATTTTCGATCAAAGGGCCGAGTTCAAATTCCAGTTAGGTTCGCAAAATACTCAGGCGCAAATACCCTTAGGAAAGGTGTGAATCTACCTCTTCTCCTCCAGCTATGGATTAATTAGTAAGGCTAGTGTCAATAAATCATTAATATCTGAAACAATAAAGTCTTGCAATATAAAAATATTTTCTGGCTTTAAACAACGTGTTGATAAGCCGTAGCAAACGAATCAGTCTTGTTTCTTTCTATGTGCCGTGTCCTTTCAGGACGTAGACGATCATGTCTCTCCACCTCCCTCTTTCCCTTGCAGCTCTCAACAAGTTCCTTCCCTATGCCACTTCCCTAAGACCACGTTCTGTCATCCACTTGCTTAAGCCCGCCAGGTATGTCATGCATTGTTTTCCCTTGTCTCTCCTTCCCTCTGTTCGACCCGTGAGTATCAGATTCTCCAGGCCCTCCTTCCTCATTATGTGTCCCAGAAACTTCATCTGGTCTCTTCCTGATGTTAAGTATAAGCCTCCCCCTTGTTTGCATCCTCTCTAAGACTTTTTCGTCGCTCACACGCTCGGTTCATGATATCCTTAGCATCCTTCTGTAGAACCGCATCGCTTTGAGTCTCTTCTTCATCTTTGAGGAAATCGTCCAGTATTCGCTGCCGTAAAGAAAGACAGATTTTACGTAACAGCTCAGTATTCTTTTCTTTGTTACCAAAGAAATCCTCGTTTCGTAATACTCTGCCCAGATTTTGGAAGTCGATCTTAGCCATCCCAGTAAGTCAACGGATCTCTCTGTCGCATTTACCCGTCCTCTGTCAGAACACTTCCCAGATATTTAAAATTCTGCGTCTGCTTGATTCTAATGTTCCCAACCTGCAAATCGCATTTCGAGCTCATCCTTTTACCGATGGCTATCCAACCTTTTTTCTTGTATTAGGTTGGTGCAAAAATAATGACGTAATAATGTCGTTTTTGACGTATTTTTTAACGTAAAAAACGACATTATTACGTCGTTATTTTTGCACCAACCTAATATTTTGTACTTAGTCCCTTCTTCACAGTCTCCGTCGCTAACTTCTGTAGGAGACTTTGTAATTTCTTTTCCATGTCTGCTATCAGTACTGTGTCATCTGCGTATCTTATGTTGTTAAGATTGTGGCCACCATTGCTAAATCGCGGTAGGGTTTCCAATTCTCTCAGAATTTCCTTGCTATATAGGTTGAACAGATCGGATGAGAAGACGCATCCTTGCCTTACGCCCTTTTCTATTTTGGTATATTCACTGAACTCGTTCTCTATGCGCATGCATGCTGTCTATTGCCAATATAGGCTCTGGATTTTTCTGATGTCTTTCCCGAATATATCAAGGTTTCTGAGCGGTTCCAGCAGATCCTTGTGGCGTACTTTGTCGGAGACTTTGTGTAGTCTACGAAACATCAGTCACTTCTTTTTATCTGTGAGAAAATTGACCAATATTCACTGCCGTATCAGAAAACTGATATCACATAGTAGTTAAGCACTATTTTCTTTGGCGCTAACGAAATTTTCATGTTTTTTAATACTTTGCTTAGCTTTTTCGATGCTACATTTTGTTATTCCAATGCGCATTCGAACTCAAAACAAACGAAGAAAAAAAGTATGCCACAACAAAAAACCATTAAAAAAACAAGATAGATATATATGGACAGTCAGATAGATAGATAGATAGATAGATAGATAGATAGATAATGAAGAGAATTAGATAGATAGATAGATAGATAATAATAATGAATTAGATAGATAGATAGATAGATGATAGATAGATAGATAATGAAAATTAGATAATTAGATAGATAGATAATAGATAATGAACAGATAGATAGATAGATAGATAGATAGATAATGAATAGAATAGATAGATAATGAACAGAATTAGATAGATAGATTAATAGATAGATAGATAGAATTAGATAGATAATAATGAACAGAATTATTATAGATAGATAGATAGATAGATGAACAGAATTAGATAGATAGATAGATAGATAGATGATATATATATATAATTAGATAGATAGAAAGATAGATAGATAGATAATGAACAGATTAGATAGATTAGATAGATAGATAGATAGATAGATAGATAGATAGATAATTAGATAGATAGATAGATAGATAACAATTAGATAGATAGATAGATAGATAGATAGATAGATAGATAGATAGATAGATAGATAGATAGATAGATAATGAATAGAATAGATAGATAGATAGATAGATGGAATATATAAATGTAGACACACACACACATTTATACTATTTAATAAATAAACAGAAATACGAGTAACCACTAAAAATAACATTTAAATTGACAAAAATCTGTCGGATTAATAAATTATGAAAAATATCCATTACTTGAAAATTACTTTTGTTAACGTTTGATAAGAAACTGATAGATAGATAACAAAATAAATTTAGATAAATAGAAACATAGATAATGAAACAGAATTACGATAGATAGATATTTTCATTAATAATATTTGCATATTCAGTCCATAAAATATATAAATATAGATAAATAAACAGGAGCGTCTATTCAAATATGATTATCCACTGGAAATAACACACACACACACACACAAACACAATATATATATATATATATATATATATAGGTATCTCCACGAAATTGCTAGAGCATGAAAAAAAAACGATGTAATAAATTTTTTATCGGCTTAAATATAGATCATTCTTAAGAAGAAACACCAAAGTATTTTTGATTATTTTTTGCAGATCCTCGAATTTTAGATAAAGTTGATTTCGTCATCAAAATTATTTAAAAAAGTAGCTATCAGCCATTTTTCCTATAGTCAACAAGTTAAAACTTGTTTATAATTATTCCAAAATCAATTCTACGTTTTTCAAAATTTATAAAATTAGCAAATTTAAAGATAGATAGAAGCTTTTTACTTTTTTCGAATAAAAAAATTGTTCGAAATAAAAGTAAGGATCTGAACTGATTTCTCGAGACAAGAATGAATAGACAGCTTAGATAGATATACAGATGATAGAGAGATTGAATCAGCTTATACTACCCCGTAATGTAGATAATAAAAACAAAAATTTATAATATTTTTTGATAATTACTGGAACTTAAACATAACTTTGTTGATAAATCTAGTTACGAGGATGCATTTCTATAATAAAGATTCCTTTGAGTTCCAATTTATTACAAAAAGTTTTTTATTTAGTTATAAAAATTTAAATTAGAAATAAATGTGGAAGATTCTAGATCAGTAAAAATTTAAATCAAATTAGATTTTGGAAAAAGGGTTGTCAATGCTGTTTTCAATCCGGCTTTGATTCAAGGACTATTATATCCACAAAGAATCTCTATAAAAGTTGCCGACCATTAAAACCCAAATTTCATGGAAAAAGTTGGTAAATAGAATTTTGAATGTTTTCATTGACCAAACTAAAATGAAAAACACCTTTGTGGATTTCCAAATATAACATAGATTACTTCACTTAACCTTTCCTTCTTAGTAACACTTCGAGTAAAAAATTGTTTATCTGTCGTTCAGATTAGTAAATTAAATTTTGAGGAATTACAATTATAACAAAAGATAAAAATTTAAATAATGAAATCTACGTTAAAAGACGTGACCTTCCTGTTTTAATGACAACCCATTTATTTTATCAAAACATAATTCCATTTTTTCATTAGTGGGTGTCATCGGATGGGTCCAAATTATACAATTTTCAAATCCCTAGACAATGACGAGCTAAGAATGAGAAGTACAAAGGTTGATGGTGCTGTTATTTATTTTATAATTTTTAAAAAAGTGTAATGAAAAGTGTTAAAATTTTTGATTTAAATTAAAGAAATGAGAAATAATTGTATTAAAATTCAATTTTCATTGAAAAATTTTTTGCAGAAAATATTGTCCATATTCATATGAACAAATAAAAACAAATAAAAGGGTTTGAGATTATTTTCCTGTTATTGAGTTTTGTATTTACAATTCAGAGCATTTCAGGTCTGAGTTTCTTAAAAAAAAACAAAATATGATTTACATTCTTCAAAAGCCTTGTGCTTTAAAAATTTTCAAAACCCGATGGTAATTTTGAGTTTTCATAAAATTAGATATGGGGTGTTAATAAAAAAAAAATTTCTTCAGGATAATAATTTCGATCATTTGTGAAATATTTTCTGAAAGTTTCATTAACATCTGAAATTATTTTATTTTTACCAAATTAATAGATATAAATAAAAAAAATTAAAATTTATCTATGTTATTTACCTCCCTTTGTTGCGAAAAAAAAAATAAACATTTTTTAAATCAAAATTTAGAATATTCTAAAAAATAAAAAATTTTTTCAAAATAATTAAAAAAACACATCAAACAAACATAAGCATTTATATATATATATATATATATATATATATATTGTGTATATTTAGGCAGGAATTTTTCATTGATGCATGTTTCATTAAATAATATAGACAAGTTTTGTCGATTTATTTTAAGTAAGTTCCTTTCATATTGTCTGATAAACTTAATGGCATTATCATTGAAAGACGAAAGGAAAACACCATATTGATACATGTTTAAATAGACACAACTTTATATTATTTAATGAAACATGTATCAATATATATATATATATATGTGTGTGTGTGTGTGTGTGTGTCATGGCCTTGTTAGGGCCAAAAATAAATACACAAAGAGAGGAATTGAGTTAAATAAATATATTAACAGAAACAGTAATACAAACATGTACAAACGAGAGTGTTACAGCAAGAATGTTCGGTCCGACTGCCAGAGCTGACTGCTGGAAAAATTCCCTCTTGAGAAAGGCAGTACCTGCTCCTATTTATACCTGGGAGAATCCATTCGTGAGTGGGTAAATTACCATATCACTTTATTAATACCATAAGGAAATCTGAATTTAAATCATGATTTGGTTCCTTAAGAAGCGTTTGAAGGATATAAATTTCATATTAGAAAGGCAATGTCATCTAAAATTACCTGTCTTACTTTTCATAGGCTGCATTTTTTCCCGCCTTTCTTCATCATTGATATTCGCCCGGAAAGAAATGGGATGTCAATTAAAATGATTCAAGGAAGCTGATGTTGGCTAAATCGTCTTCGTGAAATAATTTGAGTGACTCATTTAGATTAATTAGAAATGATCGATTGCTCGCCATCTGTAATTAATTCGGATTTATGCTTCTTTAGATAAGTCTCAGCGTTCTTTAGATGTACAAGGCGATGTCTCTGTGCCTATTTTATTCGTAGAAAGACACACGTGTGCGTAATGTACGCCAGACAGGGTTTCGGCTCAGACGAAACGCTATCATCAGGATATATCGTACACAGAACCGCACACAAACACAGAAAGAGAACAACAGATAGGCAGCCTAACATGTAAATCTATATCTGTCTATAAGGGATGTGGAGGCAGAGGGGCGGCATTATCAGTGAAAGCCTACGGTCATATAGCGTTGAAACACCGGCTCCCGTACGATCAACGAAGTTAAGCAACATCGAGCCTGGTCAGTACCAAGATGGGTGACCGCTTGGAAATATCAGGTGCTGTAAGCTGGAATGGTAATGGATAGTGGTTCTGAATTGGAAACTGGAAAGCAGAGTTCCAATTCCTGTTGGGTTCGTTATATCCACTTACATACAAATACCTTTGGGTTTGAATCCATCTCTTATTCCCCCAGCTATGGGTTAAGTAGTAGCACTTGTATCAGTAAATCATTATTATCTCAAAAAAAATTCTTACAATCTAAAAATATTTTCTGACATTATAATAACCTTCAAAAGGTTGGTAAGCCATGAAAAATCAATCAATCATAGATTACGCAAAAACAAAACCGGTTCTCGTACAGAAGTTAAGCAACATCAAGCCTGGTCTGTACCTAGATGGGTGACCGCTTGGGAATACCAGGTGCTGTAAGCTTGGGTGTGCGGCTGGTGTAATGGATAGTGGTTCGGAATTGGAAACTGGGGAGCAGAGTTCCAATTCACTTTTAGTTCGTTATAGACACTCATGCGCATTGGTATATATATATATATATATATATATATATATATATATATATATATCCGGTTTAATTTTATAAGATCTCCTCTCTTTAAAACAAATACCTTCCACTCTCCCATTATTTTTTCGGCTGTTTTTTTTTTTTATTTTGTCTTAGCTTTCACAGTTAAATTTCTGACAGGAACTTAGTCCATGCCGGGGTTGATAAGACTGACGACTTATATTTTCGTCGGTTGAAATAAGCTTATTTTCCATATGAGGTGATTTTGGAATTTATTGAGTATTAATTATTTGTTCTGTAATGATAAATACATTGAGCTCTTTTGTGGAACAGTTTTAATATTTTATATTACAAGGACCCCTTGGATTATATACCAACGGATTTGTTACCTTTACATATATATATATATATATATATATATATATATATATATACGTTCTTTTTATAGATACAAATATTTAAGTAAATGCTCTGTTCATAAAAAACAGTATTAACGACATTTACCGGCCTGAATGTCCGAGAAATTTTCATAGAAAATATGTGTCCTTCGACAGGAATCGAAACTGTATCCTATAAATATCCTATATATATATATATATATATATGTGTGTGTGTGTGTGTGTGTGTGTGTGTGTGTGTGTGTGTGTGTGTAAAAACGTAAAAACATAAAATATATTATATATATATATATATATATATATAAAGATTATTATTTAGATGATGAAATCATGCATCAGATTGCTAAGGCTACCAGTGCTTTCGGCAAACTTCGCCATCGCTTGTGGAATGAGCGGGGTATTTGACTGGATACGAAAATTCAGGTTTACAGAGCTGTTGTACTTGCCATCCTTTTGTATGGCTGTCGTGGACTCCATATAGGTACCATATACGCCAGCTAGATGTTTTCCATAAAAGTTGTCTGCGTGCAATCTGTGGAGTTAACCTTCAAGATAGGACATCTAACGTAGACCTGTTTAACAGGTGTAATATTGGAGGAATCGAGACTTTTATCATACAGTCTCAGTTACGGTGGACTGATCATGTCTTGAGAATGTCTGATGACTGGATACCCAAGATCCTAATGTACAGCCAGTTAGATCCGGGAATGTAGGACGCCCATGGCTAAGACACAAAGACAAACTGAAAAGCAACTTATCAGCTGTCAATATACCACATAACACCCTTGGGCGCTTAGCCTTGGAGCGGGTAGAATGGAGATCAACGTGTTTTAGTGGACTCAGCAATTTTCAATCTGCTTGTCTGAATCATCTTCAAGAAGCGAGTGCAAGATCTAAAAGGTAAGCCAATCTAAGTTATTCAGTTAGAAAGAGAACAGGTTAAAATCGTTTTGTGTCAGCCCCACTATGTCTTCTTAACTGAGCAATAGTGAGAGGAAAAAGATCATTCAGGCCTTGAGTAATGGTACCAACATTCAAACTCTGGCTTCAATCTCCAAAGTTCATCCCCAATACCATCAAGTAAACGGTGAATAAATTTAAAAAAACGTGGGAACAGTAGAGAGGAAAACTGGATCAGGAAGTCACAACAGCAAGAGGGATCATCATTTCAAATTAGAGCTAAAGAGATCAATTAGAAAAGATCCAACTCAAGCCATAAGACGTTTGGCACATTATAGAGGAGTTTCAGCTATGACAGTCCAAAGAGCAGTGAAAAAAACTTGAAAATGAAATCTTGAATGTAACCCTGTTGTTCCAGGTGATTGGAATTTCTCCATGAACACATGGTCCAGTGAATAAAAGCGTTGGTTGAAGTCATCCCGTGACTTGACCCAAAGAGTTGTGAATTCAATACCTGGCCCCAGCAGAGGTGAACAAAACCTTGTTACTATAACTGAAATAACTGAAACTGAGATATCCAGAAAAGGCATGGCACCTGGAACTAGAACAATCTTCCCCGGTGGAGGAAATATAGCGTTAGGTTCAAAATTCCAATCACCTGAAGAAGTTCGGCCGAAACGTTGTGAATATGATAACAAATGTAAATAGTGTAAAAAATGTGCATTTCTAAGTAATTACAATGTACATGTATTATACATATTACTGACAGTAGATACCACATATAAGTACGGAATGTTATAATTGAATTAATTATTTTAAGTAATTGATTGATATTTAAATAGTTTACTGCACAAGTTACACATGAACAGATAGTTCAAAATCCAATAAAGCATTTAATGCAGTTCACTTTATTAAGAGCAATCGTTTCTGTTCTCTTGATGATTGTGTGAATCTGCCAATAATTGCTTCTGCATTCAATGCATCTAATAATTCCTTTTCAATCGATAGCAACATGTATGATTCCAAATTCTTCTTATTATTATTAAATCACGAAAAAGCATAATTTAATATACTGGATGTAACAACAAAATTGTCCAATTGTTAGATTAAACTTTGAACCTTTGTATCTTAGAAATGATTAAAGATATCTTACTGGAATTCTCCAAGATTTTTATAACGCTCTTGGACTCTGCTTTGAACAATAAGAATTTGTGTAGCTCTAAGTTGAAATGATGATCCCTCTTGTTGTTGTGACCTCCTGTAGATACAGAATGTTATAAATTAATTTATTATTTTTTATTTTAATTGGTTGGTATTTTAAAATAGTTGCACTGTAATATAGCAGCAACTCTAAGTAGAAGCTTATGAAGCTTTATTTGACTAATTCCGTTTTAGTGCTGAAAACATTTATTTTAATAGTGAATCATTACTAGCGAGAATGAAGATGGGATTTGCTTATTTTATTACAACATGCACAATTTACACATCAACAGAGAATTCAAAAGCACAATAGAGCATTTCAAGCAGTTCATTATATTAAGAGCAATCAATTCTGTTCTCTTGATGATTGTGTGAATCTGCCAATAATTGCTTCTGCATTCAATTCATATAACAATTCCTTTTCAATGGATAACAACATGGAGGATTCCAAATTCTCCTCGGACAGCGAATTTCTTAACCTTGTCTTTTCAAAATGTCCTCTCACATTGGACTTGAGGAACTGATAGGATGCAAATGACTTTATAAATCTGTTATTTTTTTCTATTACAAAAACAGTTGAATTTGTTTCTGCGTTGGACTTTGATTGATATAGCGGGGGGGTTCATCCATCGGAGACCCACTTGCCATAGGACAAGCTGATACCTTGACCAGTCCACCACTGCATGCACGTCAAGTGTTTCCGACGAAACTAACAAATATCTGTATAACTGTAGGTGAGAACACACACAGTGGCGTTTGCTTATCTATCTATCTATCTATCTATCTATATATATATATATATATATATATATATATATATATATATATATATATATATCAAGTGCAGTTGATATCATCAGTCAACAACAGCAGTGTTGAAACAAAATTGAAAATCTTGCACTGATCCTATAACATATATTTGTTATAAATTTGAAATATATATATATATATATATATATATATATATATATATATATATATATATATATATTTATTTTATTCAAAAAATGATAACATAAATATGTTATAAAATCACAAAAAAAATAACCATTTTGTTTCAACACCTCCGGTGTCTTATCAAGTGATGTTGAATGTAAAATAAATGGATTTAAAAGTTTCAAATTAATTAACGATACTTCGCAAAGGGGAAAACGTTGTTACAAAAGCTAGAATGACCAATCAAAATACAAGTATAGGAAAATTCAAAAAGCTTGATAACGAAGTCATGTTATAATAGCTATCCAGATCTTTAAAATAGGGGTAATATTAGAAAAGAATTTATTCTAACCAATAATTATTAAATTATATAATGAAATTTGATATTAAAATTAAAAGTAAAAATTACCAATTTTAAAATCCAAATTTAATCACTATTAAGTTTAAAATTATAAAATTGCTGAGGAGAAAAGAAGAAATACATATGTTATTCAATTTATTTCTTCATTGAAATTACGTTTATCTGTCATCCGGTCATCTGTCAATATGTATACATTTTAATCCCAAGTGTGTGAATGGGGTCCTAACCTCACGCGTAAAACAACCTAATTTGTTTGTTATTGGAATTCATTCCGTATACACCAATTATATACTTGTATATATATATATATATATATATATATATGAAGAAATATAGTTTTAAGGTGTGCTATATTTATGGGATAAAGTACTCAATATCATATATATATGTGTGTGTGTGTGTGTGTGTGTGTGTGTGTCCGAATGTAATATACAGTGTAACCCGGATATAAGAGAGTTGTCGGGACCGGAGAAGTCTCTTATATCCGGGTTTCTCTTATATTCGGGTTTGGTCTATTTTATATACATTAACACAGGCTCTAATTTGGGACCAGAGAAAATCTCTCTTATATCCGGGTTTCTCTTATATCCGGGTCTCTTATATCCGGGTCACACTGTATATCCGAAAATAATATATAAATTCTGACGTTCACAGCATTAATTCAAAAGAGGGCTGTATACCGATAGTAGAGCAATAATTTTGGTTCTCACCAGTCGAAGTGCAATTAAATGCACCGAAACAAAGTTGCATCTTTGTAGTGAGCAAATTGTTATATATATATATATATATATATATATAAATTTTTTCATATAGAAAAAAACAATTTACTCACTACAAAGATGCAACACTGTGTGTGTGTGTGTGTGTGTGTGTGTGTGTGTGTGTGTGTGTGTGTGTGTGTGTGTGTGTGTTTGTATGCGTGTATATTGGTGGTGGTGCGGATGGGTGGGTGTTTGTGTGTGGGTAAATGAAGAGAGCAACAGTCTAAAACGAGTTTAAAAAAATCCGAATCAAAGAGAACACTAATGCACATGCGCGCACGCATGTGCATTAGTGTTCCTGCTGCGCGTACGTGAAAATGACTCAACATTACTAATTGAATTACAGTGGTCGTGTTC